TTTTTTTTTTTTTTTTTTTTTTTTTTTTTTTTGGAGTCGCGATGGCCACTCCGGGTTGGTTGTTTTGGTCAATAAATTCCTTTTTCCTTTTCTTTTTTTCTTTTTTTTGGATCTTTTTTAAATAAAAACATCAAGTGTTGATTACATAAAATATATATTTAAACTATATTATCAAATAATATGGACTTATTATGTAATCCTGAATTTTTAGATTAATTATCATCTTTATCGAATTTTCAAAATCACAAAATTTATAGATAGAAAATTAAATTATTAATAACAATCAGATTTGATATTTTCTCTCTATCTAAATGAAATGTAGTACAACACAATTACATAACGTATTACAAATATTTTATATTGCAATCACACATTCTCATACGTCACTATCATACAATATAGTGAAATCTTTGTACTAAATGACAATATTTCAATGACACGTCTTAATTCACATTCTTAAATTGGGCGTGCATACTTGAAACTATAGATTTTCACTTCTGTGATCGGAAGCCACACAACCTATAGGCGGCAATCACAATTTTCGCACAAAATAACCGGAAAATATTACGGTCGAAGCCAATGATTGGAACATTTGTTTATCAACAACTATTTAATTCTATGCTTCGCCAATAAATGAATTTCGACGAAGAATATGTGGCCAATATTTTGGAGAAATTATGGATAAGAAGTAAACAATTTTGGAGAAATCGCGTTGATAATTCAGCACAGGCATGTTGCCGGGCTTTTCTCGAACCCAAACCGGTAGCACGACCCAGTTTGATGGCATTACAGTGTAACTTAAAAACTCTAGCCACAAAAGATTTTACGCCAAACAGCAAAGATAAATAGAATAACCACAATTATGCTTGTACACATGCAAAACTATAGTTCAGTCATCCGTCTAACGAGAAAATAGAGGCGTCGAGACATCTATGCGACCAAGACCTTGCCACGAGTTTTCTAACCAAATCATAAACTCCTGATTTACAGCTCTAACAATGGAAGATGGCAAAGCTGACTACTGCCGACGCAACAAATAATTACTTTGCCACAAGTTTGGACTTTCTAATGATTGCATTGTCGCGAAAGAGTACCTCTTGTAGCAGTTGATGACGAGGATCCCACCGTATCCATTGGTAAAATCAGATGATGGTCCACGTCGGTTTTTTCAAGATGGCTGTCTAGCGTTACACGGTTGCTGAAGTTAGACTGACCAGTTCCGTCTTCCTGTATCTGCTTGTCGACTACATTTATGCCAACACCCAAACTTGAATATCCTTGCTGCCTAAAATTTCCCTCTGTAGCATCTGGAAGTGAGCATTTTATGGCTCCAAAATATAAACCAGGTGACACCTCTTCATCCCGCTCCGGCTGGATATTAAGGTCAATTTGACCTTTCAAAGGCGAGACCAAGAAATTTCTCTCACTGGCGTCATCAACACAACTATCATTATCTGGCACTTGTTCAGTATATGTCGTTTCAGCCTCTTTCTCCAACTGTTTCTTCTCACGCCTATCCCTCAGGGTTTTGCAACGGCGCTTCAGGGATTTGCAGACAACACAGTCGCATGTTTGCGCATGCCTGGGGCCTTTCCCGCTGGGAGGTTGAATACAAACAATGCATGTGCAGCCAAGTTTATGACGTGGGTGCCTTAGTCCGGATAGTGATGAAGCTGGAAGATCTTCCTCCCCTTGGATAGCTAAATTAGCGAGTGCATTGAGTCCTTCCATAGCCACAACCGAATCTGACTCCTGTTTCTCATTCTTCTTCTTTTTACAAGAATCTGCACGATTAGAATACCATTAGCAAATGTGACAATGGAAGGAAATTGAGCAACGACGCAAGAGAAGAAAGGGAAGTACACACCTTTGCTAATGGTGGGTATCATATCTTCAAGCTCTTCTGTGGATAATTTCTCAGCAGCCAAACATAAAGATCTGATATGTAAAGAGGATTGGAAAAGTTTAAGACGAACTATTTGGAACTAATGGAATACAATGGATTGACAGAAGTTTCCTAGAACTTTCTTTGATAAATTAGTAACAGTATCAATTGAGAAAAAAACAGTGAAGAAAATCAAAGAATTAGCCTTAACACAGCTTCCAAACAAGAGGAACTTAAGGAAATGCTGAATCAAAAATAAAAATTGCTGATAAAAGCAGCATGACAGGCTCCTATAGAGTATCAACACTGTCAGATTGTTAACATACTCCAGTACATTATAGGCAGCCTATTGGTGCCCAACCTCTTAAGTTAGAACATAAATACAAAACTTACAGAGGAAAAGACCATGTTCTGGCAGAGGTTCATTAAGAAATTAAATATTCAGGGTTTGACTGCAATAATGTAGGCATTGATAAGTGGGGACACTTCTTTCTTGTTTCCTGTTAATCTCGTCCTTTCAGAATCAGGGGTGACCCTTTCGCTGATTCTCTTATGCCATTGATTTATTTCGCTAAGAGCAGGTAAGAGGTTCCATAAAAAACTGGGATGACACCATGAAAAGTGTGCACTCATCTGCCAGTTGAAAAACACAAAGATGGTGCGTAATGATCATTAACGTCAGGGATTCCATTGCTTCTTGTCCTAATTATATACTACTCGTCTCCAGAGAAAGTCGGGTAAAGACTTCCATAACCAAGAGATTAATGACATCTCAAAAACTGGAGACTTGCATTTCAGGGATATTGATAAGGAGAACAGGTACGGAAAGAGAACAGAATTCTCTCCAGTCTAGTTCGTGCTATGAATCAGGAAAAGTTGTGTAAAGAAAACCCAAAGCAACATAAGAAAAGAAATATACGAAAATCCTGAGATACTGCTGTCATGCTTAACCAATAAATCACACTAAACGGGAAAAAAAGGCTATAACAGTTATCACTCATTTAAGTAGGGGAAAAGGATATAGAAAAACGTCTGGAAAAGGGCCAACATCTGGGGCCAAATTTGGAGTTTGAAGTCCACATGCACACTGGTTAAAAATGTGAAGACTTAAATAGAATTTCAGGATTAAAATACAGGTATAAAAGTTAGGATACCTGTCAAGGCCCCATACATTCTCAGAACACGTCCATCTTGAAGGAAGAAGAGCATTGGCAGGCACTTTGCGCCACTTTAAACAGTCGTCACATTGAACCCATTGTATCTTTTCACTAAGTAACGTATATAACATTAGCATTCACCAGGTAAGTGAAAAATGTGTAGGAGATATGTGTAGGGGGATGCAAGCTCTAATAAAAGCAAAGTAGTTTACCCAAAATGATCGATTGCAGGAATAGTAGGCCTTCCAATAATTGGTGCATGCTGCTGAAGAGAATCAAATTAGGAAAACAGGAAAGAAATGGATGCCCATTGGTATGCTTTAATATCAGTCATTTAGCTTCTGTCAAACACTTCGACCATGCTTATTCATCAAAAAAGAAGTCACGTTACCGATAAACCATTTACAACAATTATATTATGCAAACACCAAAGAAAAATGTGTACAAGAACCTAATGATAACTTCAAGTTGGAGCTGAAGCTCTCAATAAACCAGTTTAAGCAACACAATATGATGTTGCATTGTGAACCAAATAAGGACTGCATTGAGGAAAGCACCAAGTGTAATGAATTTACTCCGAGTGTTTATTCCTTAATAGGATTGTTTTCTCGTGAGCATTTCATCCATCATCTCTTGAAGACATCTCTCAAGGTGCTTGCTACTTCAAAAAAATAAAGCAACGGAAACTACAGAGCTGCTACAAAGTAGATACCAATGAAATTTCAGAGAAAAGAATCCTGATACCTCAAATTCTTCGATTTCAAAGTCTTCCACAACAATAACTGTGGGAACAATTTTAGGAGACGGGCGCATCAACCCTTGAGCTTGGTTCCATGTGATCTTCAGCTCTATCATATCCTCATTTTCAACCCTAAGGCGTTTACCTTTCGAACCCAAGATGCTATTCTTCCTTTTACCGTGACAAATAGCCTTAGCCTCGAGTGTTTCATTCACTTTGAACCTTGATTTACAAATTTCAGACCAGGTTGTTCCGGAATCTGCTTTAGCGATCTGGTTGACTGGAAAAGATCTAGCTGGCACAGAATTACCCTTCGTGAGACCATTTATTGAGTTAATTTCTCCAAGTTTATATTTACCCTTATCATCCTCAGGAGCCAAAGCATCATTCCCAGTTAAAGTAGCCTCAACCCCCTATAAACAGAACAAAACAATATCACAGAAAAGTAGTTAGGTGCTTAAACTTCAATTCTAAACAAACGATAATTATACATAATACATGCATACATTTAAAATCAAAGATACAGAATTTTCAGACCCACTTAAAATACAACGTAACAGCTTTAACTCAGGATGCATACTCATAAAAGTGCCTTAAATTTGGTGGTGGAGACATAACTTTGTTTTAATCACTAATTTTTAATTAGAAGGAAAGTACACTTGTTTTATTGGACAAGGACGAACCTGATTGGATGGAGTGGTTGAAGCTTTTCTGCCTCCCATGACCAATTTCCCTTCTGGCTCCAGCCTACTGAACGTTACTGACAAGATAAATCAAACTCATTTTGCAATTCGATGACAAGACAAATAATCTCATAAAAACACACCATGTATTATAACATTAAGAAGATGCATACAACAGCTTTTTCCAATGCAGACGGACTATGAAATAACGGTATCAAACCGTTTAGCCAGACCTTAGTTTAACAGAAAAGTTACACAATAAATTTAACATAACGATGGCAATAGAAGAATAAGAAATAACACATGGTAGACTCAGCCTAATGTACTGCAATGAGAATCTTGGCGGCAATGCAAAGATTGCAAAAACTTAAAGCATCACTCAGACAGCTAATAACAGAGAAGAAACAAACATGAGGGACACTTCAAATCAACAAAAGAAGTAAAACTAAATCAAATTGATAACAGAGGGAAACAATCACAGGCAACACAAATAGGCAGTACTGATGAATTACCTACATCACCAGCTTGCAGTTGCATTGATTGTATACAAGGAGTAATTCCTTCTAAGACATACATTCTGCTATTATTATTTGGCCAAAACCGAAACTGAAATACCCATTCTTTTCCCTTCAAATCCAGTACTTCCAGAGGTAACCCTTCTGGCTGAGATATCAGTGGAAAATAGGCCTGTCCCATTGTACATGAAGTTACTTTTTATCAGAAGTCTATACAAACGCGAGTATTAACAAATAAAGAAATTGCAACATATTCAAGTCAGAAATTGTTCTCCGCAGGTTATTTTATTTTATTTTATTTCATTTCATTTTATTTTTTGGTTGTCTATACAGGCAAGTAGAAGAAAATACTAGATAAACATATATGAAAAAATGCACCCCGCAAAATATGAATTTATATAAGCACACATTGATCAGAAGAATTTGCAGGATTGAAGTCCTGAAGTAAAACACAAAAGCATAGGGATTCACCTCTGCACACTTTTTTGGCAGCACTAAGCGTCCGATCCGTCCGGCATCACTAGCGGTCAGTATTTTCTCAAATAAAGGTGTAAGGACTGAGTTTGAACTAACTAGACGATAAGGTCATATCAACATACTAAATTGAAGAATTGCACAGATTGTAAAGTCAATGGCATGCAGAGTTTAATTAATGGCTGAGTTCGCACGGATTCTTCATGCAGTGACGCAGGTCTCATAAGACAAGACTGTATAAATTAGGAGCATATTACATAGAACATCTAACTCCGAAGTTATCCGTGACAATGATCATCGAAAGCATGAAAACATTATGAAGTCTTCTAAATCCGTAGGATACTTGCTAGAAAGTTGAAGTAGCTCCTCATTAGTTATTTGTGGCCAATGCCAAGGTAGCAACTGATTACGGCCTCGGCAATCTCCTCGAGCCTTTCCAGTATGTGCTACGGCCTCACCAGCTGAGTTCATTCCATTGTATCTGGGGACGTGCTTGACCATTGGAGTTGAAAGGGTGGGCCATTGTGAAAGACTTGCACAATCATGGTTCAGACCATTTGTTTCATGTTTGGATGAAAAAGCTGAAGCCAAACTCACATTTGAGGTCGAAGACTCATTCTTTACGACTGATGCTACAGAGGGATTATGTTGCTCCTCCCTATTGGATGCTGCAAAAAATAGTTTGAATAAGATTGCAGGGCATACTTTGTTACACTAAAATTTTCAAAGAGAGCAAGAAAATGACAAGTAACCATGAGTTTCTTCACAGGCGGAAAAATGATAGTGAAGATAATCACCAGAAATTCCATCCTCAAGTGTTTCAGATGGGCCAACAATCGGCTTTCCGTCAATCAGTCTTTCAAAGAAATTTTCTTGTTTCTTCTCAAGAGAAGAGATGGAAAATCTCTCACTTATACCAAATCTATCAATGCCATGAACCACATCAACTTCAACGGGCATCCCCGGCTGCAACTCGAATTGGAAGCCAGAATCATTGAAAAAACTGGGTGCTTTTCGCCACGGCAATGGACCTGAGCCAGCTATTCTCCAACTTTTCATGGAGAGGTCCTTCAAATTTCGGTGCTGTGAAGGAAGAAATTGAGAAGGTGGTGGCCATGCAGGATTTGGGGTCTGAAACATGGCAAATAAGGTAAGCATTCAGGTCACAATCATTTGAAGGAATATGAAATCACTGGATCATGATCAAAGCAAGCAATTATGTTTGGCAAAAACACAAGCACTGTCTCATGGTACTCCGTGTAAAACTTCTTCAGGTAGGAAATTCAAACAAACATCACATTTGATCTATACAAAACAAGCATGTGTAAGTAATATCATCAGTACCATGGAAAATCAATCTAGGGCAGGCCATGCAGGAGTTATAAAAGCTATGCTAGATTGATGCAGCCTGATGATTTAAGTTGTACTTGGAGTTACCACTCCCGGCTACTAAACTTATCCTACTTCTACTGGAGGGCAATTTTTTTTTTCCCAGCCCCCTCTTTCCTGAAAATCAAGGCCAACAATCATTTGCAGCTATTAAAAAACTAAAGGAAATGAAAAATCCCCAAATACAAGAGAATGGTAGCTTATATCAAGTGCAGACCCTCCAGAAACTGTTCAAAAGAGAGTTTGGCATACTAGGACCACGTCACAAACAAAAAAAGGTCCTACCTCCAACTGAAATCACTTTAATGTACAAGCATGATAAAACAGTAATTTTAACAGCTGTGGGCTCCGATACAAAACAAAAAAACCAATAAAAAGGAGCCATATTATCCTTACCAAAATGTAACTTTTCTTCGCACAAGTCAGGCATTCAATTCCTCCTGCATCCAATAGTATGAACATATGGAATGAAACTATACATCCACAATGTATATGCTGCAAAGGAGAATTCATCATTTAAGACTTAGATGAGATTAATATTGTGAAGTAAAATGTAAAAGTCAAAATTTTCATGTCTAGTCTCTAACAAATCGAGGATTTAAATTTTCCTGAAATACAAATATTAAAAGTTAGCTCACCTTTCCACAAGAATTGCAACAACTCCAACCAGAAGCCTTCAAGTGGAATGTCTCACAAAATTTTCCGTCCTCATAAGCAGAACTACATTCACGTAGAATTACAAAACATATTCACGAAGTAAATAAGAAGGCTAAAAGTCACTTAAACAATATGAAACAATGTCGTAAATGCACCCATGAGCATAAGGAAGCTGGCATATCTTAATACTTATTCACTTTTGATGCAACATTTAGTATGGAAAATTTACATGAAGTCCTACTTTGCACATTAAACCATTTAATCTGAGAAAATTTAGAAAGACAAACAACACCTATTTTCTCTAATACGTTTGAAAGCAAGTCGATTCTGATTTAAGTTTCTAATTTGTCTCTCCATCCAAAAGTAATGTGAAATTAATTATTACCACCTACAATCACTATACTTGTGATAATAAATCCATGTAACTCCTAAAAATTTTACTTCTAAAGTGATAAGAGTAAGACGCGGTTCAGTAATTACCAACTATGTCGAATGGACACAAACATGCTTGCCAGATGTCACACGATAAGGACACGCCAGCACGTGATTTTCAAAAAATGTAGGATACAAACACGTTAATATAAATTCTTTAAGCCCCTGTTTGATCCCCATTAAATTAAATTACATTACATTCCATTTTTCTCTCTCCTATTTTCAACCACACAATTTTTCATAAAATAATATTAAATGTAAATCGAAAACTTTTTCATTCTTTTTCAACCACTCATTTTTCTAAAAAATATTATTCCTCCCATTTTCATTTTCAGGTAATGGGGCTCAAACGGGGGCTAAAATTGTATATGTTCTATCTTTATGCTTATACTCTTTATTTTTTGATAAAATGGATTCTTTTCTTAGTTTTAATTTTTTATCATAAAATCTTTTAAAGTGGTAGAGTAGCTATTTTTGACATAAAAATAACTTTAAGTTAAACAAGATATTACTATAGGGAAAGAAATATACCTATTACAAGTCAAGGAGTGTTCGAGGAGTATCACGACAGACACGGCACGACACGTGTTGGACAAAGACACATAGCACAAATAGGAGTGTCCGTGCATCATATATTACCAAGAATAAGTTTCACAAAGTAATCTTAGAGCTTGTTTGATGAAATTATAATGAAAATGAGTAGTGAATCCCATGAAATGTATAGATAATAATTGTGAATGTGCAGTTAAAATTAAAATTTGACTTGGACTTGAAATTATAAGAAGATTATAATTTTAAACAAACAAGCTCTTAATTAAAAAATTTATCTTAGAGATCTCTATAATAAGAAAAATATATTTGTTGTGTAATTTGAACTAAAAACAAAAGGAATTTAATACAGGTAAATAAGGTCTTCCCTTTTCCTTTCAAATAATAATACTACAAAGACGACAAGAAAAAGAAGATCCCATCCCCCCAACAAAAAAAATTTCAAGCGTTGTTCAACCGCGAAATCCCAATTTTATTGTGGAATGGTTTAATTACACTATTATGATTTTATCTATAAAACTGATAAAATAGCTTATGAAATATTGAAGTAGGAATTTTTTTTAGAATAATGCTTGGTGTACATTATGGACACCATTATGGTGTCCATAATGTACCCATAGCACAACCTTTTTTTTTTATGGAAAAGTGAGAGTTCTACAAAATGATTTTCTCTTACAAACAAATTTACATCAGACGATTATGACCAGAAATTTCCACGAAATGAACTCGTATCGATGCTACCAATACAAAGATTTTCTTTAGCCAAATCCCTAGTTGGAAATTCACACAGTTAGTGTAAAAATAAAAAATAAAAAACCTGATATTCCACTCAATAATTGCAGTATAGCCTAGCAATCTTAAATTAACAACGGAGTATAATACTGTCAAGCAACAAAATTATGCATTCTAAGTTGTAATTTCCCATTTACTAATTAAAAGTTCCTGCATTTAAGGCAAGTATCAGAAACCTGATTTCCACTTAGTAATCCTAACATAACATCGGAATAGGATACTATCAATCAACAAAAAACTGAATTATAAAGGGCACTTCTTATATGTAAAATTCGCTCAACACCCCAAGTGTCAGTCTTCTTCCTCCCACCACAAAACTCACACAAATATCAGCCAGATGCTCTAGTGAAACTTTCCCAATACATTTTTCCGGAAATTGAAAAATGGTAGCAATAAATTATTGACTTGAGGAAGCAAAGCGGAATAAAATATCTACACACTGACGTAGCAGATTCCATTTTTAAAATACGGAATTCATACAGAAAACCGTAATTGCTGAACAAAGATGTCCTCATTATTCACTAAAAAACAAAGAAAAAAGAATCAGAAATTCAAAATTCAATTTTTAAACTAAGAATGAACAGAAACGAAAAGTCAACAACAAGTCAAACCAATAAAAAAAAAAAANCAGAAATTCAAAATTCAATTTTTAAACTAAGAATGAACAGAAACGAAAAGTCAACAACAAGTCAAACCAATAAAAAAAAAAAAGGGAACGTAAATTGCTTACGCGCAGCGATCGCAAAGGTCAGCGTACTCGCCAGTGCGAAGACGCCAACCTCTTCTCCATTTCTCCAACGGCTCTTTGCAGTTCGAATTGAAGCATACCTTAGTCGAAGATGATGACGACAACATGACAAAAACAGACCTTAACCCAAACTATAGATACATATATTGTGTATCTAACAACAAAAAAATATCTTCACTCCAGGTTTTATTATCAAGCGTAAAATCCTTGCTTTAGAGAGATAATAATGCAAAAGTGCAGTGACAGAAATTGCGTACTGGTGCGTCACATTTGGCGTCGTGGTTTCAACTGTTCTAAATTTCGTCTCCTCGCAATGTCATTGGACGCAAATTCCACGTCATCCGAAACAAAGCCTATAACTTTCATTTAGACCCTACCATGAAATTTGCATTACAAAAAATAAAAATAAAAAATTCTAGTCACTTTCAAGTACTTATTCTTGTTGAAGCTTCATTATTTTCTATTACATTAAATTAAAATTTCTCTTTCTTATTTTAATCACACAATATTTAATAAAATAATATTATACGTAAATCAAAATTTTTTTAACCATTCATTTTTCAAAAAAATATTATTCATATGATTATGATCTACAAATAATGAGGCTCAAACGAGGGCTTCTATGAAAATTACCAAGAAAGAAGATAGATGAGAGATAGAGAGAGGAAATTATCAAGAAAATAAAAATTATCCACTCTAAATAAATTTTTTCCTTGTTTTTGAGGAAATTATAATCGCATGATCAAATGTTAAAAAATAAGGGAATTTTTAAGAATGTCCAATTTTAAGGGTATGAGTTGAAAAGTGTCCACTCATTTGAATTTAGTGTTAATTTATCTATTATGCTCTTAATAAAAACTACATTTTGAAATGGTATTCTCCACATTTTAAATATCATTCTCGATATTTGATTTTTTTGTTAATTTGTCATGAATTTTGAGAAATGACTTTCATGAGAAGTTATATTAAAATAATATTTTCCTACATTTCATATGTCATTCTCGATATTTGAACACCGTTTCATTTGTTTAGAATGATATTTCATTTTAAACATGATATTTATCTACATTTAAAAATGTCATTCTCGACATTTTTGAATCAATGAAAAATATGGTATTTATTGTGATTTGACATGTATACATTTTGAAATAAATATGGCAGGTTATGTGTCAAAATTTTATTGGTCTATAACAATATTGCAAAAATGTCCATTTTTTGTCTTATCGTGGAATTATTAATTATTAATAAAGATATTTTGGTCTAAATTCTTCCAAATTAGACATTTTTTTTGCAATGGTGGATATTTTTGTAAATGACTAGGTAAAAATGGACATTTTGTGAAATTTCTAAAAAATATTTTTCATGAAAAAATTTGTTAATTTAACACTTAACAAATAGGAATTTGGATGAAAAATAACATTTTTCATTTAAAGTAAATGCAATCAAACACACTATATTATAGTTTTATTTCGAAAAGTGTTATACCATGTATACGTGGACAAGGTATGCATATAGATAATCTTTAAGAATTAAATGACCGTTTGGTAGATCTTTTGCTTTTCGTACAAGTGATTTCTCAAAAAAATTTCTTTTATCGTTTCGAAACTAATTTTTATAAAAAGTTCCTCTTTCGAAACAAGCTTTTAGTGAAAGCCACATTAAACTAGCTTCCTCTGAAAGTCTAACTAAAAAAAATGTTTTTATAAGTTTAACAAAACATTCAAAAACAACTTTTGTGTCACAAAAATCATACCAAAGGGACCTAATTCCATCCTACTTTTGATATCTCGAATCGTTATTGAACTTTTGAAATATTATAAAAAGTCAAATTATTTTTTCATCGTCACTTGCCATTTGAAAATTACAGATATCAATCATGTGATTGATAGATTATTGATTTTCTAAATGATCTGAAGTGATGAGTAAGAGCCACCCTCAAAAGTTTGATTACAATGGATGAACAATTTTTAAAGAATTTTAGCCCCATTTGGTTTCATTATTTCTTCATTAAAATGAAAAATATGATCGTTATACATAATATCAAGTCACCAAATTTGAATTTCTATCTCTTGTGTGGAACCGTAACGACTATATTTTTCATTCTCATTTTTTAAAAAATGAGAAACAAACGGAAGTTTAAAATTTAGTAATCGTTGAAAAGCAACTTTAAGAGGACATTAAACCCCTATTTGGTGGTCTTAAAATTTTAAAAATATATATTTTGAATAGTATTTTTTTAAAAATGTATAGTTAAAAAGTAAAGAAAAATTTTGAATTTATATGTAGAACATTTTATTGTTTGAATATATGATTGAAAATGAGTATGAGAAATAATTTAAAGTAAAATAGAGGGAATCAAACACGAGCCAACTATTAAGGGAAAATTGCGGCCGAAGTACCAAACCTTTCGTTTATTAGCAGACTTTGCCCAAATCTTTCATTTGTGCCACCGTGAGTACCAAACCTTTAAAAAATGTGCAGCTCAAGTCGAAATTGACGGTTTCCGTCTATTTGACCACAAATACCGTCAGTTGACCCCAGAAATTAAAAATTTAATTATTTCCCCAAAATAAGGTAAGGTCATTCTGGACATTAGACATTTCCCCTATTAAATTAAAAATTAGAAAAGCAAAAAGCAAAACCACAACCACCCACCCCCATCTCCTTCTTCCCCAAACCAAAACCACTCCACCCAACCTTAACCTCAGTTTCCATCTGAATAGGCTTATCTCCTGACTCTGGGGTGCCATTTTCAGTCCCAGCATCAATTTTGGCATCTTGCATATTTTCATCAATTTCATTAGTAATTGAGGGAACAGAATCAGCAGAAGTCTCATCTGTTTCCATCTTCGTTGGTTCCTTTGCTGACTCCTTCACAACTGGAACTTGCACTTCCTTCTCTTCCAACATCTTATGCACATAAAAAGTGTATTAATTCACCAAATAAATAAATAAATAAATAAATAAAATAAAACAACTAGCATCATAAACAAATGAAGAAGCTTTTTTCCAGAGAACTTACAGTAACCGACTCAACTGAGGCAATCCCATGAAGATTCAAACGTACTTTGACCTTCAACTTCGGTGCCATTTGGGCTGGCAATTTGTAACAGATTGAATTTTGCGGTGTGAATGGCTGCCGGCCATGAATGGTTTTGGTTTGGGGAAGAAAGAGATGCGGTTGGGTGGAGTGGTTTTGGTTTGGGGAAGAAGGAGATGGGGGTGGGTGGTTGTGGTTTTGCTTTTTGCTTTTCTAATTTTTAATTTAATAGGGAAAATGTATAATGTCCAGAATGACCTTACCTTATTTTGGGGAAATAATTAAATTTTTAATTTCTGGGGTCAACTGACAGTATTTGTGGTCAAACAGACGGAAACCGTCAATTTCGACTTGAGCTGCACATTTTTTAAAGGTTTGGTACTCACGGTGGCACAAATGAAAGATTTGGGCAAAGTCTGCTAATAAACGAAATGTTTAGTATCTCGGCTGCAATTTTCCCAACTATTAATGACAATTTTAAATGAATTAAGTTATTTGTGTATTCTTTGGTGACATCTTTGTCAACATTATATGTGTTGTCAAAATCTGTATCATTGATCATTTTAAGTGTTGTTAAAATCAAGAACAAAAATATTTATCACCTGACATAGTATCGATTAGATTATTCCTATAGCAAAACTAATTTTAAATTTAAATGACTTAAAACAAAATTTCCAACCTTGCTTTTTTGGCCACCCCTGGCCTGGGGCTTTTGGAAAAATTTCACCATGACTTGTAGTCTTGTAAGACTATTAATGGCAGTCTTCTTGTACTTAAAGTTTATTAAACACGCTTTTCATAGATAAATAGTTTCCGAGGTTGAAATCAAACTAAACTTGGTAATTATTTTATGTGATAATTTGTTATTTGTAATCATGTTGGATCAAATAACAAATTAATGTCTCAAATAATAAACTGTCACATAGGATAACTATTACAGTCGTCAATTATGAATAATATTATTTTTTAGGAAAAATTGTAGCGGATGTCCCAAACCTTTCATTTTGTTGTAAAATATACTTTAACCTTTCATTTTTACGGTTGGAGTCCCAAACCCTTAACTTTCATTGCAGCTATAGTCCATTTTAACAGATTCCATTCACTTATCCATGGGTCAATCCATAACTTAAATGTTTGACTCAATTTAACAAATTAAATGAACGATAAAATAGTAAATCTACATTTTCTAAAATTAAATGAATAAAATAATTAAAAAAAAGTTTGTCTTCTCCTAACGCCCAGCCCCATCCTAACACTAAAACCAACCCTCACGCCTAATACTTAACCTTCCATCACATTAAGCCCCTGTTTGGCTCCCATTACGGGGAAAATTTAATGTATAGAATAGTGTTTTTTGAAAAATGAGTGGTTGAAAAAGAAAGAAAAATTTTCGATTTATGTGTAATATTATTTTATGGAAGATTGTGTGGTTGAAAATAGGAGAGAGAAAAATAGAATGTAATGTAATGAAAATCAAACAAGGGCTAAACCTACGCCAGAATCCGCACCAACGAACCAAAACCAACCTTCCTCATCGGAATCCACGCCACACCAACTCGCCAACCTGGCCCGTCATCGACACCATCTTCAAATCAGGTCCCCACATTTTCCTAACCAACCAAACCTACAAATTTTCTAGCCAAAACCTAACCACTGCAACCCATCATCTTCAATCTCCTTCTACCAACCTGTTAATCACCCCAAACGCATCGTTGCTACTAGCAGCTACATCCACCTTCGATCAAACAAATCCATCAGTTTTACCTCTACAACCACCATTATCGCCTCCTGCTCACACAGGTACTGATCAACCATTGCTTCTCCGATTGTCACAGCACCCACAGCTGTTCGAACCCCTTAAATAGCTCCTCCAAGCTATATGACAACTTATTCTCCATTGGCGTCGCCTTCCTCATTTTTCCTCCTCCACTCCATCAAAACCATTTCGGTTCTGCTGAATCCTTCCTCATCTTTATCGATGGGGGTATAGATTTGAAATTGAAGCTTTTGATTTTGCTGTTTACTCTTTCTGCAACTCCCCAAGACGATGATTGAAACAGAGGCGGCTGCAACTCCATAGGAGCAAATAGCACCAATTCTAGTTTAAACAACGTTCCCATATACTGAATCCCGAATTATTAAAGAAGGGAAACTTTGTACAAAATCGAATACTTTATTATTGATTTTTGAATGAATTATGTTTGATCTTAGAAAATTCAAATTTACATTTAAAAAATATTTCTTCATTAATATTTTACTCATCATTTTCATATGTTTCATTTCGACAATCAATTCAAGTGATTAAAAGGAAAAATATATAACCAATATTCAATCAAATAAATACAATTCGTTAAATATGAGTTAAATTTGATATAATCAGTTCAGACACATTTTATGTACATAAATAAGATAGGAGGAAATGCAAATTTAGGTTCTATAAATGTGATAAATTGTAGAAAAATTATAAAGAAATTTTAAAAAATTAGAAGTAGTAAGGTTTTGGTAAAAAGTGTGGGGAAGACACTAAGATAGAGTAAGTGAAAAGAAAAAAATTAAATTTATTGTGATTTTGCCCTTGTTTGGTGGGGGGTGAAAATTAGATTTTTAGTAAAATTTGATAAAAGTTAAAAAGTTAAGGATTCCGTAAACTATTAAAATTAATTATTAATTTTGATTTATATTAAAGTTTAGATTTCAATTAATACCAAACAGGATTTACCAAAAAAAAAAAAAAATTCAAAAGTTGAGGGTTCACGTGACCTCGGGACCCTCATCGGGTTCGCCCCTATCCATTGGCGTTGCACATTTTAGCTATAAAAAAAAATCTCTATTTTCCCTCAATCAAGATTTTTTTGGGGATTTTCTTGAAATGCATTGGAAAATGCTGGAGTGAGAGTATATCTGCACACAACAAGGGGGGTCTAGAAGGTTGTGGGAATGGATCTGGGTCGATGAGTTCCGGTAAGTTAGCCCATTGTGTGAGTGCGATTGGTTTAAATTTATTTGGATTTGAGTAATTTTATGTTGTTTGAAATTAGGGTCGATGGTCTTGGCATTTGCGGTGGTGATGGTGGACGGTTGGTCGTTGGGTAAATGGGGTGACGATGGGTGGAGATGGCTGGGTTTCTTGGGTTCTGATGTTGGGGGGCGTTTCGATGAGACAAACCTTTTTTTTTAGTTTTTTGTTTCATTATTGACTTTAGAAAATGTAAATTCACTATTTTATCCTTCACTTATTTTGTTAAATTAAGTCAAACATTTAATTTAGCCCCCCGTTTGGCCCACATTTTTTAAAAATGAAAATGGGTGGAATAGTTTTTTTTTTTTTTGAAAAAGAAGTGGTTGAAAAAGAAGGAAAAAATTTCGATTTACGTGTAATATTATTTTATGAAAGATTATGTGGCTAAAAATAGGAGAGAGAAAAATAAAATGTAATGTAATAAAATTTAATGGGAGCCAAACGAGGGCTTAAAGATTGACTAATAAATAAGTAGATGAGATTTGTTAAATGGACTCCAACTGCAATTCACCCTATTTGGCCCCCATTTTATAGAAATGAAAATGTGTGGAATGATTTTTTTTTGAAAAATGAGTTGTTAAAAAAAAGAATTTTTTTTTTATTTACGTGTAATATTATTTTATGAAAAATTATGTGGTTGAAAATAAGAAAGAGAAAAATGAAATGTAACGAAATGAAAATTAATGGGGCCAAACAAGGGGCGAAAGTTAAAGCTTTGGGATTGTGGACAGATAAATGAAAGGTTAAGGTCTCTTTCAATTTTTTCTCTCTTATTTTCAAACATACAATCTTTCATAAAATAATATTACACGTAAATCGAAATTTTTTTCTTTTTTTTAAACCCCCACATTCTCAAAAAATACTATTTTAAACATTAAAATTTGAAAAAAGGGAGCCAAACGGGGGATAAGTCAAAGTTTGAGCTTCATTTTGTAAGAATTCATTTTTTTTTTAAAATACTTCTGACCATACATTTTTTTAATAAAATAATTCTAAATGCAAACATAAAATTTTTCGTACTTTTTAACACTATTAGGTGTGTTTGTCACCTATTATTTGAGAAGAATGTATTATGAAATAGTGACTGGTATTGAAATGTGTGGTTAAAAAAGAATGGAAATTTTATTTATTTATTTATAATATTATTTTAATAAAAAATATGTGATTGAAAATGAGTACTATAGAAAAAATAATGGGAAAGAATGAGAGAAAATGGATGACAAATAGGGGCATAATTTTCAAAAATTTAATGTTACAAAATTTATTATTTCAAAAAATGGGGCTAAACTTAGGGCTGTAAATGGATCGAATACGCTCAAATCCGATCCGATCTATTAAGAATAATTATTTAATCCGATAATTTGACGGATATTTGAATGTTAAATCTATATCCGATTAGCTATGTTATCGGATATCAGATCCGATAACTCGATTTGAAATTGAAAAAATTATACAGATAAATATTTATTTTTTATAAAAAAATTATTTGAACTATTTTGATAGGTTCACTTATTATTATATTAGAAGGTCCAAATCAATGTTTTTATCCAAATAATGTTCCTTTGACTCTTTTTAAAAAAAGACTTCTCTTAGAATGATTTAGTGATATTCTAATGTGGAATACTAATTTTTTTAAACAATTCTCATCTTCCAAGGATTTACTGATCTTTTAACGTGGAATACTAATCATAATTATTTTTTAATTCTAAGTGTTTACTAGTTTACTTTATTATTTTCGTTAAAATCATGGCCTCAATAAGTTTTTAATTACAAAAAATATCAATTTGAACAAAGTAAATTATTTTGGATATATTAATCGTTAGTTTGTTATGTTATAAAACAACTTACTATAAATCCAATCAATAAATTAATTATTATTTTTATCTTTTTTTAATTTATAAAAAATTAAATCTTTTCAAAAATTTCAATTAAAAATATTATACTATTATATAATATTATTTATTATTTAAAATTTAAGTGTAAAATATAATACAATTTTCAAAATGGAAAAAACTGTATCATAAATTATGCGATAATATAAATAATATAGTGTATTATTATAATAAATCAGATCGAATTGACCTATATTCATATTTGATTCATTTAGTTAACATACTATTGAATTCGAATCTCGATTGGATTAACGAATTGAGATCCTAAATTTATCTCTCATTAAATCGAGTGAATTCGTATCAAAATTCATTCCATTGACAACCCCAAGTTCATTTAAAAGGAAGAGGAGAGAGAGAGAGAGAGAGAGAGAGAAAAGAAAAAAAAAAAAAAAAAAAAAAAAAACCGAAGTGCAACCAAATAAGCGCGCTCACAATGTTCAGCGCTTACTCACTTTACCCACCTTGCCAAAAGCCCTGTTCTGGACGTCTTCAAACCAATTAAGGGTTTACCAGTAAGGGTCGTACGGCGGTAGCAATGGAGGAAGCGGCGGCGACCGACGAGGCAGCCACACAGACTCCACGCTCAAGAGCTCCACACATTAAAAAGAGAGCGCTCAAGAATAAATCTCTCTCAATATCTTTCAACGAGAAAGACCTAATGTACGCATTTTGTCCATGCCTGTTGCACACTTACATACAAAACTCTCTTATTTGATTTGATTTGCTACGTATGCAGGGATTATGTAACTGGTTTTCACAAGAGAAAGAAGAAGAGAAGAAAAGAGGCACTGGAGAAACAAGAATTAGCCCTACGAAGAAAACGTATTGAGGCGCGCAAAAAGGTTTATGTTTAATTGCTAATTTCATCCTGTGCCAAATTGCAGTTCTATTGATGCTTAAATTATTATATTTTTGTAGCTTTGCCTTGTAATTTTCTTCATTTAGATGAATATTCCTTGGGCGGGGTATATCAGCAATTTGCACCATTGCTATTAAACAGCTGAAGCATAGAAATTGATAATTTTGAAAAAATGGGAAAAGAAACATCTCCTTACAGTTGTTCAGTGATTGAATTTTAGCTATTTTTGTGTGAGTTTTTTCCCCATCCGGGTGAAAGGATCACAGTTTGATTGCAACTGAATCATTTTACGACAAAGCTGATGAAGCGACCAAGGAGGATCGTCATCAACTGGTAAATCAACTGTGCTGAAGAAAAAATCAGATCAATTTGTATTCATGTTTTTCCTTTTAGAGTGCACTATATTGTTGTTTATTTGAACTGCTTGTTGTAGGCATCTTAAAATCCAACTTTAAAGGCAAATTCCCATGGCTAATATGTACCATTTTGACAGATTAAGCTTTTTATGGTGTAGTCCAACTGTAAGAAATTGAAAGGAACCAAAATTCATCAAAATCCTTTCACAAAATACATAGATTCTCCATGTTGAAATCAAAGAGAAGAATAAAAAATGCGGAAGCGTACCTTGATCCATAGTTGTTAGTTTTCTGAACGGGTTTTGATCTTCCAATTATTACGTGATTTCCTTGAATGTTCTTCTCTATTGATGGGGATGCAGATAACTTTCGAAACTCATGTTCAATTGGGGACCATGACCCTATATTAAATAACTGCAATTGGTAGTTATCAATTTTGGTGTTAGTTCAAATTGGCCCCTCATCAATTCAAAATAATGTCTTTCGGTTTCTATACTTTATTCTCATAACATTTAATGCCCATTAGTCCAAAATTAAACTTAATAGATCACTTTACGGACTAAATTACTTTAAAATAGCACCACACATTTTAAAATATAAATATGTGTGGCCCCATATGTTGAAATTTTTCCAACACCAACTGCATCAGAGATGTTGTCCATGAACTTCATTTGTGATGCTGCTTTTTCATAGCGTTAGTGATCTTATCTAGAATTTGGCATTGTGAATATTTTCTTATGTAGGTTTTTAATACTTCTTTATGAAAGCTCAAGAATCATGACCCCATTATTTTGAAGTTTCAAGGGATTTTTGTACTCACCGTTTACAAATTGAATCCTCTACTCCTGAAATGATAATTTTTCTCGAAATTCATTTTGATAGGTGTTAAAAGTTATACTTCTTTATGAAAGCTAAAGAATTATAACCGCATTTTTTTGAAGTTTCAAGGGATTTTTGTAGTCACCATTTACGAATTAAATCCTCTCCTCCTGAAATGATCTTTTCCTCAAAATTCATTTTTGTATAATTCTGTTTGTGTAATATTGACATTCGAATTTTGTGGTTGATTCCCATCAATTTACATAGTGTGGCTCTTGTTTCTTGTGACATAAGCAAAAAGTTTCATAATTGTTTTCGTAGCAGAACAACCTAAAATCTAACTCTAAACTAACTCACCTGGCTCACAGAGGTGAATGCACAAGGGTGCACATGTCTGATAAATTTTACTTGTCCTGAAGTAGTTGTGACTGTGGCTCAGAATCTTACAACTAATTTTGCTGCAGTTGACTAACAGCTATCTTGATATCAACTGTAATTTAATGGAGAATTTACTCTATATTAATATATATAACAGCTGCGCAAACATTCATATTTTTCTTACTCACTTGTTGAGCAAGTTTTTTAGGCGCTTATTTTTTGCTGGTTCTAATGATTCTGCAGAGAAAATTGGAGAGGGAATTTGCTATATATGGTGGAGCTGCACCTGATTCAGGCATAGGATCTGATGGATCGGACGAGGACAATGAAGGCGACGAGGAGGCTGAGCCAGTGGCATCAGTTGCAGGTAATGTGCAACTATGCAATCTGCTCACAAATCCTAAGATATGCACAAGAAGTAGCGAGTGTAATTTGAATTTACATGTATTAGACTAGTAGGGCCATAGACTAATTTCAGAAAGGGGAAAAGAACATTTTTTTCACTTGCTTTAAGCCCAGACCCCATGTTGCTAGGAAGACTGGTTGTGGCCATTAGAAACTGCAGTCTAGCTGAGGCCTTTATGTAGGAATCCTAGTAAATTTGCCTCTTCCTGAGTATATTGGATTTACTGCACAAGGTGAAGATCTTTGGTTTATATGTGGTATCTGCTCAATAGATGCTTCTATTAATCTAGATGTATTATTGACACAAAACAACTTAGTATTATACAAGACCTGTGTCTCAGTTTTGGGTGCATAATATGATTGTTATTTGGCAGGTATCTACCTCAAACTTTATGAAAGTAGACTTGTGAAACATTTATAGAACTTTGTACTCAATCCAAGCTTCCAGTTAACCTATTTTACTATTTTAAAAGGGACAACGATGTATGACAATGGTGACATGCAAGTCACAGTGACAACAAGCGAGATCCCTCGCGAACAAGAGAGCAATATTCTGGAGGGATCAAGGCCTCGGTCCATTGAAGGGCTTGAGAAGAGTAAGCAGAGCATTATTCATCTGAGTAAAAAACAGCAATTGAAGAAGGCTTCAAAGAAGAGATCTCGGCCAAAGCCACAGAGCAAGAGAGATAAAAAGAAGGGAAAGAAGAAGAATACGAATAAAAGGCACTAGACGTGTAATCTCTCTCTCTCTCTCCTGGACCGAACTTTACATATGTTCCGTTTGTTTTACTTTCAACTTGATGAGTATATGTTTTTTGTAGTCTAATATATTAACTTTCCATATCTCCATCAAGGTGTAAACATTATGGTACTTTTTTATTCTTGCTCATTTACTTCAAGTGGATTTTATGTATTTAAACAGATTTGGAAGTGGTAGTTTTTCTTATTTATAAGTACAAAAAGTTATCTACTTTAGACTTTGAGAGCAACTTATCATTCTGGGTGTATGTTACGGTCAGCTATCTTTATCCTATAAAAATAATTTTTTATCATGTCAAATTGGGGAAATTTCAATTTTGGAATATTTTATAGAATAAACAGCTTCATTTTATACAATAATGTCAAGTGAGAAAATTATACAAATCCTTTTTTCTTGTAGATCAACGACCACTGTCAATTTTCAAACAAACCAGGGCAAAAAGTCCACGGGACCCTCTCCAGCCAAATCATAAAGAAATAAAATTGAAAGTAGGGTAATTAATTTACATTGAACTTTTTAACCTTGTAAAAATAAAATAGAAGGTGGTACCTTATTTTTTTCAAATATTTTAGGGATGTATTCAATTGAAATTTCTAAATTTTTTTAAAGATTTTTTAAAAATTTTGAGATATATAACGTAGGCGTTTCGAAACTCTTTAAAAGTAGAAATCTAGAATAAAGACATTTGTACAATGATAATTGGCAACTTTTGTTGACAATTCATGTATTGTCGTATTGTCAAGATTTATTTGGTTGATTTAAAAAACAATTTTTAAAATCGATGACGGCATAGTTCTTAATAGTATTGATGTATTAAATTAACATTTTTATAAACTTTTAAAAAGTCTTTAAAGGTTTTGGTATATTTAATTAAAAAATCATGCTTTCTAACACTTGTAGTGTTGAACACCAATTTAGGTGTCAATTAAAACATTTTACAAGTCTATAAATTATAGGGTATTCAAAATGTCAATTAAATTTAAAGACTTTCATAAAAGTCTTTAGAGCATCTTCAGGAGACTTTGTCTAAAGATTTTTTAAACATGATATGCTCCCTATTTTAAAGTGTAAATTCGTAAAATCATGCTAAATTGACTCTTAAATTAACATTTTAATTTAAAAAGTGAGGATTTTAATTTAGAAAAATAAATTAAAATAAAATATAGAAAAAATAATAAATATTTTTTGGGAGTAATAAAATTAAGTGTTAAATATAAAGAACTTGTTTAAGTATTTTAAAAGTTTAACTTTCTAAATTTATAAATGCTCTCCAAATGATAGCATATATTTTTTAAAAATATAGAATTTCTTGGAAATGCTCTTATATGATACAAACATTTTTAAGTAGGTACAAAAACAAAATATCAAAATTTGTCTTATTCATTTCAAGATTTTGAGACCTTTTTTTTAAAAAAAATATAAAAATTAATACCTATTTTTTGTCTTATCAATATTTTTCTTTGGGTAATAAGCACGAATCGGCCTTACCTTTTACTATTATTGTGAAAAAATGTCATTACCTTTCCTTTTTGGTATTTTCACTATTATTTTCATCTTTTATTGCGTAAAAGGTCATTTTCATTCATTTTTCCCATTAAACGTCGTGAAATGACGAATGCCATTCTATTTAAATAAAACAAAAAGAAAAAAAAAAGAACAAATTGCAATTATAACTTCAAATTTTTCAAAAAAGTACAAACAAGTTCCAAATAAGTTAGTAAAAGGATAATTAATACATAATGTCTCTACCTTGTGCTATTATTATGAAAAAACGTCCATAACTTTTATTTTTTGACATTTTCACCCTTTATTATACGTTTGATTGCTCAAACCATCATTTCTATCCATTTTCTCAATAAAGCGGTAAAAAGACGAATATATACTCCTACCTCCTATTTGAATAAAAATTAAAGAAAAATAAAAAAAATTGATTACAACCATAGTCCCAAAATTTTTAAAAATAGTGCAAACCAGTCCCAAATAAAATATTTAAAAAAATTAGAAATTAATGTTTTTTTTTTTAAAAAAAAGGTATAAACTAGTCCTAAATAAATTATTAAAAAATAGAAATTACAAAATTAATTTTCTTTAATCTTCTTTTTTATTTAAATAGGAGAGTTTATATGTCATTTTATAGTTTTATTGAGAAATTGAATGAAAATGAATAGAAAGAATGGTTTGCGCGGTTAAATGTATAATTAATGGTAAAAATGTCAAAAAAAAAAAAATTATGAACATTTCTCACAATAATAATAAGAGATAGGGATATTATGTGCTAATTATCCTTTTGATAATTTATTTGAGACTATTTGCACTTTTCTTTTTCTTTTTCTTTTTTTTTTTTTAAAAAAAGGACTATTGTTGCAATTATCTCTTTCTTCTTCTTTTGTTTTATTGTAGAACAGTATATTCGTCATTTTATAGCTTTTTATTGAAAAAATGGATGAAAGATGGAAATAAATGTGAAAATGTCAAAAAAAAAAAAGGTAAGAAAGTTTTCCACAATAGTAGTGAAAGGTAAGGACGTTATGTGCTGATTACCCATTTTTCTTTCATCTTCCTTCTACGAAACTTAATGTCGTGATTAAAAAATTATTATTTTTATTTCAAATATTGTATCATTTTCAACAAAAAATATTAAATCACGATTAAAAAATTCTCCTAACATTTTTTGGTCAATTTTTTTTTTTTTAATGTAAAAGATCAAATTGTATTTAAATGATAAGATTTTATATAAAAGAGACATTTCTAATTAAATTTTATATAAATTGATTCGTTAATCTATTTTCTTACATACTGAAAAATATTGAACATTGATATTTCTTTATTTTAAAAAAAAAATACTAAAATATTATATCATTTATTTATCTAATTAAAATGGCTTAATTTTTTTAATTCAAATTAAAATTCATCAGATACTTGAAAATGAAGACATGAAGCGCATTGTCAAAAGCTTAGTTTCATAACTCTCGAAATACGTTAGCGCCATGTGGCCTTAATGCTCCACAACTTTCATCCCCACGAGATAGCGTTAAGTCAGCCTTAAATCATATGATAATTTAATCAATAAGGCTAAATTATATTGACTTCAGTACAGATGGTCGATAGGAAATTATATTAAAAAGAGCACACATATATTTGAAAAAACCTCTTTCTCTAAATGTAAGAGAAAATTATTTACAACCTCTCAATTATTTTCTCTTTACAAGATATCACTCTATCTCACTTTATGGATGGGAAATTTACATTGCTTTGCTTCCATTCCATCCATGGAAATTTTTCTCAACTCTCCATTCATTGATTTTACAAATGACCAAATGCCTCTATTTATAGGCAAACTCTTACTATGCAAGTTGGCATTAATGGCTAAGATTTATTTGATCCAAGGTCTTCATTTGTTGGAAGTAGCCAAATTGAAATTTGCTACCTAACAAGTTGCATGTCTCTACACTTACAAGTTATCATGTTGCAAGATGCATGTTCATTTCTAACTCTATGCTAGTTGCATATCCTTTTCAATGCAAGTGAATTATCTTTGCAACTCATATGGAAGTGGACATTCCCTTGTAGAAGAAGTAGTCAAGTTGAACTTTGCTTCCTCTATTGACCAAGTGGTAGTCAAGTTGAACTTTGCTTCCTCAGGCAAGTTGTAGTGGTAAAGTTGGATTTAACTTCTTCATGCAAGTTGCACAAGTAACACAAGTTGGCACCCTCTTGCATCCAAAACCATCGGCCGTAGTCCACGGTATTGCTCTCCCTTTAAGATAATGGTTTTCACCTTAGAAAAACCTAAATTCGGTCCCTACGTCCACTGACGGCATTTTTCCAGCCCGTGTCCTGCCTGTACAACCTAACTGCATTTGCTATCTACGTTCAGTCTGCTTAGTTTGTTTGCGTCCCTTGCCGTAGTGCTGAAACAGTCTCCCTGAGTTTTGCCTACTTGCATCCTCCTGCCATAGTGCCTATGTCTTTCCTACATGAGTCACCTATATATTGTTGAAGTTTAGACCTAATTTGCAAAAGGTCTACCTTATTTTCCCATCTCGTGCCATGACATTCCCCATGTCATGCCAACCCTCAAGTCATTCCATTGTGGTTCGTGACATTATATCGGTCGGGACCAAGGGGACGTCACTCCTATACCAAATTAGGCGACACCTTCATCGCCATATACCGCTGAAGATTAGACCTAATTTGCCATAGATCTACCTCATTTTTCCATTGCGTGCCATAACATTCCCACGTCATGCCAAGCCTCAAGTCACTCCATTGCGGTCTATGACAACATGCTTCAATATGGGTCGCCATGGCAATAATTTCACATTCACACCTTAAATGCCTTCGGTGTTTCAAGAATGAGTTAGTGTTGAGCTCGAACCAGCTCTAATCACTCTCTACTCAAGTTTTAGCACGTGGTCTCAAGTTAATAACCATACAATAATATTAGGAACTGATATCAAATGGAACCTCTGTAGTTAGACACTTTCAAACCATTCGGTGAGAGTGTTTTTGTTTTCATAAATTCACGAGTCTACAAAGAAACCTCTAGTATACATGGTAAATAGCTTTGGACAATATCAGACAATGTACGAAACAAGATTTTAAGTATTGGGAAAAATCACAAATACGTTACATATATATAAAAATTCACTTTTTACTACTTTACTAAAATAAAAATTGAAATTACTACATCATTAAAAAAGAAAAGCACACTTCAAAAAGAATTGAAGCTCAATAGCTTCTTTTTTAATTATTGTAAGTTCGCTATCGTCTTCTTTCTATGATTCTAATAGTCAAATATATGAAAAATTTAGCAAAGAGAGACGCAAAAGACATAGAAGATTGGACCGCGTTATTTTGTAATAGTTAAAATTGAAAATGTCATTATTTGAATTAATATAGTTTTGTGAATATTAAAAAAATTAATTATAGTATGAAATCTGGAACCGAACCCTAACGGTCCCATAATTAAATTTGAACCCAACGATTTCACTTACTAAATACCCAAAAATTTCGGATTCGATTCGGACCATGCCCACCCTTATATAAGACTAAATTGATACTAATTAAATAAAGAATTATAAAGAACTTAATCGATGTGTCGATGATGTATTCCATTTTTCTCTCTCAATCTCAAAGTATTCATTCACCCGAAGCTGATCTGCTTCAATTTCCATATTCTATAAGTAAACCCAAACTATTTGCAAATGTTCAATG